AGCAAACAGTTACCTAGCCCACAATTGCTTGTCCCACTGCCACAACTGCATGTGCTGCTGCTCCCATCACCAACAGCCCCACAGATCTAATCAACCAAGGAGCCCCACAGCCTGGATCTGGCCCAGAGAACAGGGTGAGTTGGTCACCCCTGCTTTAGAGGGATTGACTTCCAGAAGTTCTGAATACCTGCCATCTGAAGACGAGGCTACGTCCAGGTTATCAGGCTTATAAAGTGGGGTTGTCAGCCCTCAAGGTTTGCCCTGAAGTCTCCAGGAATTAGATACAAATCTCCAGGAGACTGCTGAGAGTCACCCAAGAGATAAATGATAGGGCATTCATTAAAATAAATATGAAATGTTGAATCCAATTTATACAGTACTCCTGTGGATTTTTTTAAATGTAATAGTAATGTGCATTTGCCTTCTTGACGTAAAGTTTACACACTGTAATCAATGTCGTTATGTCGTGATGAAACCTAGAATAGACTTAAACAGAGTTGGCAACCCTATTACAAAGCAAATCCAAAAACTTCGCTTAGTAGTATGTTCTGGATTTGAAAGATTAACATGTTTTTCTGGGCTTGGCGTTTTTTGCAGGCTTTTCTATATCCATTTATGATGTGACATCAAGAAGTGTTTATCTCAGATGGCCGAAGTTTTCGGGAGCCATTTCTTACAGGGTAACAGCAAGCCCTGTGAACATAGTGGGCCATTCTGTAATGGCTCATTTCAGTGATGTTACTCTTATAGGCATCCTAACTCCACTAACCCCCAATACTATCCACTCTGTGAAAGTGGAAGCAATTGATGAGAATGGAATTATCCTGGCTGAAGCACAGACTATGCAGTTAACAGGTTAGTATGGGATGGCTTGCTCAGCAAAATCTCCATTGCCTTCAACACAGCCAGAGCTTCACCCACTATATGTTGTTATACTTCTAGCTCCTCCCCCTGCTGAGATGTATGGACATTTTCCCACTGATTTCACTTTCCTCTCTTCTTTCTTGTGTATGTGTATTTGCATGTATACCTTGCATGCCATACATTTCTTCCCAGCTAATCAAAGCACAACTTTTGAAATCATCCATCATGATTTTCATTGAAAACTAATATGGAATGAGTGAGGTCTCAGTGAGGACTATGAAAAGCTTACATTGCATTCCCATTTAGAATTTATGTACTGTTGAAGTTAATTATGGGTATGGTGTAAGAACTTCTGTAGACAGATCTCCTATTTTCTCTGTTTGATTACTGAAATTTATTTAGAAAACAATCTGTTGAAAATTCCTTATAAAATTATTTTACTTGACAAACTTTGGAAATACTTTTTTTTCCAGCGGATTTTTTCTTACTGAGGGATTTAGTACAGTAAAGTTTACATTGATTTTTCCCTTGAAGTTTTAAATAAATTCTACCCATTTTTACCCCCTACTTAGCTCAGGCATGTCAGAAATGGCACAATATGCAGATGTTCTGTATATCAAAAACCTATTCCTGCAAGCCCCCTGCGAACAAAACTTCTTTATGTCTTGTATAAGAAATGCCTGCATGGAAGGCTTGCCAAATTAGTTATTGGGTAAACTGTGTTTTAATTTTATGAGGCAAGGCTTTTTGTAATATCTTCTGATGGACCAACTGTATAGCTCGGAGAAAGACTGAACAAGCTTCAAGGCATCTAGTGTCATTTCTTAGGTCAGAACAGTTCTCCCAATTACACAATTGATGCCAATAAACCCAATAAACCTTCTTTTATACATTTGCTGAACCATCGTAGCAACAGTCAAACCCTGTTATATTTATAGCCCTAAGGAATTTTTTTCATTGGTTGCTGCATTATGGATGCTTAAGGACCCAGTCTCGCTTCCTTGCATGAAAGTCTGCAGTTATATTTTTTATATTAGTTAAATGTAGTGTTTGACTTAAAGAAATTAAAACAAAAGTGTCTAAGAAGATGGAGACATGTGCTGAGTACTTCTTCTGATCATACCTCTGGAATGCTTGAAGACTATGTTTTTTTAAAAGTTTAACATGTTGTTTTTTTCATTTTAGCTCCCGAGATACCCATTATTGATCAAGCTTATTCAAAACTGAGCAACAGTATCACAGTGGAATGGACAGCTGTCCCTGGGGCTACCAGTTATCTTCTAACTGCACAAGATGGGGAGTCTTTTATTGAAACAATTATCACAAATTCCCCAGGCACAGTGACAGGGTTGAAGGCTGCTACACTGTACAAAATCACCATCAGATCTATAAACTCTGGAGGAAAGAGCCAGCCTTCACCTTCAAGAAAGGCAAAGACAGGTAACTTTTATCTAGAAAACTAATATTGTAATGCAAAATGTATATTCTGTAACACTTTCTAACCAATTCTTATAAAAGTCTGGTAGAGAAAATTAAAACAACCAATTTGTACTGATAATGATTAGTGAAATCTTGTATTTAAATCTTCCTGAAAGTGCCACCGTTGTAGTAGTTGAGGAATATTATATGAGTATAGATGTGACAGATTAATGGGTATTATTTTGGATTGTATTGCCAGCTCTGCTTTTGTACTTTCTCTGTTCTTTAATTTCTCATTAGTAATGTGGACAATAACACTAACTTGCAGTAGTCTTACGAGTCATTGTTTTAAAAGAGCTCTTACAGCCTTGAAAGAAGGTACTATGGAAGTGAAAAGCAGATGTAGAGCCGTATGTGTAGTTATGCTATCCAGGTAATAGATTACAGGTGATAACTTACAGTGCTATATTGCATTTATCATTGTACAGTTTTCAGATTCCCAAAATGATCCTGATCATTGGCTCACATGAGCAAGATACAGGCCTTGACCAAAGTCTCATATTTAATTTTGAATCAAGGCTAAAAAATTTAGAATTCTACATCTGGAATTCATACATTTATGAAGAAGAAATTTCCAGTTTTCCTGTGATATTTGAACCTTAAAATGAGGACATGATTAATAGAGTGATGCTGGGTTAATTTTAGAGATTTCAGAAGTGTATTAATTATACTTTTTTTTTCCACAGCTTGGATAGTTGGTCTTTGGACTTTGGTTTTATGGTCAGAAGACAGTGAAAATACAGTCTTAAAGATATTGAAAGCTCTCTACAGCATTAAAAAATATATATGGCAGGTATAATATGAGGTGCCATGGTATAAACATTTTATTGGAACCCATGGGCTGACCTGCATAATTTAAACATGACTTTGTGGGCATAAGTCTAAAACCTTTACACTGCATTCTCTCTATTTTGTGACTCTAAACACCTGGATTTGCTTTCCAGTTAATACATATACTGACCCTTAAGAGTGGAAGGATAGGGAAGCAATGGAAAGGAAGGCCTAAGGTAATCGGAAGATATAAGGAGTTCTAATTTATCATTTATCATAGTGAAAGGATAATAAGTATAACAAAAGAAGCAACTGAAGGAGGGGTCCTTCAGTTGCTTCTTTTGTTATACTTGTTATCCTTTCACTGTTTGGTGTGTTGGCCATTCTGCCAGCCTACAAAATAATCCACTGCTACAAAATAAGCTACCTTGCCTCTTCATTCTTTGACCAATTTATACTGTGGTTTGTGTCACTACTGAATTTTGTCCTGACTCTGAAGGCATGTGACTCTTTAACCCTGTCTGATGTTATCACATTTAGCTACAGTTATCACATTTTGAACAGTATTGCTCTTTATGGAAATCCCAGTAGTGAATGTAGATTTGTCATTGACAGTCCTGGCTGCTCCAGTTCTGTCTGCAAGTTCCCCAAGTTATGACTCCATCGTGGTGAGCTGGGGAGCTGTACATATGGCAGTTGGATTCTCTGTGTCCATAATGAGATCAGATGGCTTGGGCAATATGGTGAAAGAGAATACTACCAATACCTCGTTGGTGTTTACCAGTCTAGATTCAGGAACTCTCTATACCATCAAAGCTCATGCCTGGAATGTTAATGGGATACCTGGAGATGATTTCACATACAACCAAAGAACAAGTAAGTATTATTTAATTTTTAGTGTAAAAGCACAACTTAAAAATATGTACAGTTGTATTTGCATTTCTGTTTCTGACAGACCACATAGAGGGAGAACCTGAATTGGTATAAATTATACTTGCTCTATTTCTAAGGTCATGAAATAGAGGGCAACCTAAAGGACAAAGGTTAAGTCATATAAATTTTACTCAGGCAAAGGTACCATTAACGCCAGTTAAAGTTGTGCCTGATTAAGGTCTATATTAAAACTACAGGAGGAATTTAGGATTTCTTCATTAGTGAATAGCAAATACTAACATAAATACTGAGACTTCAACAGATCAGTGAGAAAGTAGAGTCACCTTTAAAATAATTCCATGTAACTATGATCTGAGTGAAAAAAGGTAGGCAAGATGCAAGCCACAAAAGCTGCATTTCCTAGAGTTTGGGGGTATTTGTATCCAGGGGTCTGGTTAAGGATTACTTCTGTCAATGGCCATATGTTAAGTGCATAAACAATTGTTCTTAACTAATGCAGGTCCTCAAGCACCAGCAGATGTTCAAGTAGTTTTTGACAGTGGAGCTCTGAAGGCCATTATTTCTTGGACTCCAACAGAGGGAACCTTAAATTATAGTGTGACAGCCTCCAACAGAGCCTCCAAACTGAATTGTGTCACATCCTCCACTTCCTGCTCCATGGCCTCCCTCCACTGTGGATCCGTGTACTCTATTTGTGTCATAGCAAGCAATGATGCTGGGTCCAGTAAACCTACAGATTCAGCGAGCCTTAAAACTGGTAAGAAAAAAATATGGTGCTTGTGATACTGTTTCTCTTGTGTTTATGTTTTAATGTCAGCTCTAGAATTCACAAAAAAGAAAGACTAATAATAATTAAAGGTCTAAATGAAAATAATTTCTGTAGTCTTCTATAACCTTCTATAGGGAGAATAAATAAATAGGAGAAAAAATCAAGAGTTATCTTTTATTAAATTCCCATAGTACTAAGTACATTACGAGAATTTGCTACCATAAGTATCAGGATGTTTAAGAATGATTAAGTACCATGAGTGTGTGTTCCTCATATAATATGCTCATATAATAACTTACCTTATTTAAAAAGACTTACTAATACATAATTACACTACCTTGTCAAAATACTGGCATTGCAATAGTCATTTAAGTGCTGGTATTGCCAGGAGGCAGTGCTGGGAGTGCTGCTTCCTGGCTGTGTTCCTGACAACAATGAAACAGCTTTTCAGTGCTGTTTATTTCATTAAAAAATATTTTTAAAGAAATTGAGCTGTATTTTTATTCTGGAACATCAGTGTAAAATTGTTCCCTTGAAATCAAGACACTGACAGAACAAAATTGCCCCTTTTGGTTTCATAGCTCTTCAGTTATTTAAAAAAAATACTTGTGAAAATTTGGAGAAACTCACACTGAGCCAATTTAACATTTCCAGGTGATGCGTGTTGCACCTTTCAGCACCAGCCTACTTACTACAACCCCTACCCCCTGGGGAAATCTTTGTTACAGGAATACTGACCATAGCTTTATCCATCCCTCAACCCGCCAGGATTGTGATAGGGAAAGTTAGCTCTTGAAGACCTCCAAGGCAGGGGAGAGCACCACCTCTCTTGGAAGCCCCTTCCAACTACTGGCAACCCTTAGTGTGAAAGAAGTTCTTTCTAATGTCCAAACTAAATTTGCTTTCCATCAATTTGTGGCCATTGTCCCTAGTTACTCCAGGGGGTGCCCTAGTAAATAGAGCATCTCCTATTCCCTGCTGCCCTCCCCTGATGAATTTATAGCCAGCCACAAGATCACCTCTCAGCCTTCTCCTGTGAAGGCTAAAGAGATCTAGGTCCCTCAGTCTCTCCTTGTAGGGCCTTGCCTACAGGCCTCTGACCATATGAGTGGCCCTCCTCTGAACCCTCTCAAGATTCTCTACATCGCTCTTGAAGTGCGGTGCCCAAAATTGGATGCAGTACTCCAGCTGTGGATTGACCAGTGCCACGTAGAGGGGAAGCATCACTTCCCTGGACCTGTTTGTCATGCATCTGGTAATTCACGATAAAGTGCAGTTAGCCTTGTTGATCACTTTGTCACACTGATGACTCATGTTCATCTTGGAGTCAACTGACTCCAAGATCCCTTTCTGCTGTTGTGCTGCTGAGGTCATCCCCCAGCCTGTAAGTGTGTGGGTGGTTCTTTTTGCCCAGGTGCAGCACTTTGCACTTGTCTTTGTTGAACTCCATCCTATTTCATTCTGCCCATTTTTCCAACCTGTCCAGATCTGCCTGGATCCGTCCTCTACCCTCAGGTGTGTTCACTTTGCCCCATAGTTTGGTATCATCTGCAGACTTGGACAGGGTGCTGTCCGTGCCCTCGTCCAAGTCACTGATGAAGACATTGAATAGCACCGGTCCAAGGACCGAGCCTTGTCAGACTCCACTGCCCACATCTTTCCAGGTTGATATTGATCCATCCACCACCACTCTTTGGGTGCGACCCCCTAAGCCAATTTGCCACCCACCTGACTGTGTAATCGTCTGTGTTGCAGCCTGTCAGTTTATTTACGAGAACGGAATGTGGTACCATATCAAAGGCCTTCTTAAAGTCTAGGTAGATGACATCTACCTTGACTCCTGCGTCTAAGCATTTTGTGACCTGGTCATAAAAAGAAACAAGGTTAGTCAGGCAGGATCTACCTTCAGTGAATCTGTGCTGATTCCCCTTCAGCATTATTTCCCCTGCTGGGCTCTCACAAATGTGAGCCTTAATGATTTTTTCCAGTTTTCCCAAGGATAGAGGTGAGACTAACTGACCTATAGTTTCCCGGTTCCTCTCTCCTCCCTTCTTGAAAATAGGGACCACATTGGCCCTTTTCCAGTCCTATGAGACCTGACCGGAACACCATGAGTGCTTGAACAGCCATGCCAGTGGCTCTGCTATGACACTGGTCAATTTCTTCAGCACCCTTGGATGAAGTTCATCTGGGCCTGCTGATTTGAACATATCCAGCACCTCGAAGTACCCCTTCACTAAGTCTGCACTAACAGTTGGTGGGCTGGTGTCCCTCTTGTGTCTATCCCTCCTGCTTTGGCCTTCCTGACTGATTCCCTGTGAGTGCGTGCCAGGGAGGTATACTCCTCCTTGGCAGCTACTCCCTGTTTCCACAGCCTGTATACCTCTTTCTTTGCCCTTAGGCTTTCCTGCACTTCTCTTTTCAGCCAAGAAGGCCTCTTGGCCCCTTTGCCCCCTTTTATGTGCAATGGGATTGTCTCCTGCGCCTGTGGGATTGCTCCCTTGAGGAACAGCCACCCTTCTTGGACCCTCATTTCACCAATGCTCTTGAGCTTTAATACCTCACTAACTAATCTCCCGAGCACACTGAAACTAGCTTTTCTGAAGTTTAACACTTCAGCCCTGCTGGTTAATTTACCCACCCTTTGCCAGATAGTGAATTCAATCAATCGATGGTCACTATCCCCTAGGTTACCTTGTACCTGTAGACTCCTCGCCAGGTCATTCCCTGTAGTTAACACCAAATCCAGCAAGGCGTTTCCCCTAGTGGGATCACATACCTTCTGCGTTAAGTGGAGGTCTTGTATGCAGATAAGAACCTATGTGAGTGGTTAGATTTGGCTGACTGCTCCTCCCAGCAGATGTCAGGGTAGTTTTGGTTACCCATGACAACTGTATCTCTCGATCGAGCTGTCGGAGAATTCCAGGTCTAGCTCATCCTCCTGGTGTGGCAGTCTATAGTAGACCCCCATTACCAAGTCCTTTTCCCCCTGGCCCCCTTCTATCCTGACCCACAGTACCTTGGTTTGGCCCTCCTCTGATACTGTCTTGATAATAGAGGATGTATATTGTTCCTTAACATAGAGAGCAACACCACCCCCCTTTTTTCCCCCACTCTATCTGTACAACTTGTAACCCTCAAAGCCTACTACCCAATCATGAGTAGGGTCCCACCAGGTTTTAGTTAGTCCAGCCATGTAGAAGTTGTTGCTTGCAAGCAGGAGTGCCAGTTCCTCCTGCTTGTTCCCCATGCTCCTAGCACTAGTGTAGAGCCATTTAGGCCCCCTAATGGATGCCCTTGGTACCCCCTTTTCCTGATGTTTATTGGGTTCCTTAGTGCTTACCTGGGCTGATTCAGTGCATTGCTCGTGGCTCGCTGATCCTAGGTTCTCTTTATCCTTTGCTTCCCCATCCCCCAATGAACTTAGTTTCTTTCTTTGGAAGAGAACAAACTCTTACCTTTAGAAGAGAGATGAGGACCCCACATGGAAGTGCAGATCATGGTTGTAGAAGCCAAAACCTGCATGATGGCACAAACTCCGGAGCTGGAGGTTGACTTCCCTGATGCAGGTGTCCTGATGCTGATGGCAACTGCTGACCAGAAGGATGGATGAGAACTTCCTAAGCCTGGCCCTCAGAGCCCAGTAGTCACTCGTGACGCGATCTAGATGACTTCTGGCTGCACCATTCATGCCCACATGGATGAGGACCATGGAATAGTAATCAGAGGGCTGGATGAGGTTGGGAATCCTTGCAATGATGTCCCGGATCCTGGCTCTAGGTAGGCAGCAAACTTCCCATGCCATGGGATCCAGTTGACTGATAGGCCCCTCTGTACCTCTCAGGAGGGAATCACCCATCATGATGACCCAGCGTCTCTTCCTCCAGTTGTTTGGTTGTCATTCAGCCTGCTTGGTGTTTTTTGTGGACATGTCTTCCCCTGTGGCTTCCTCTGCTGCATCATCCTCTAGCGTTGCCAGGGCTTCGTATCTGTTCCCCAGTTGCATTGGGGAAGCAGTCACAGTTGCACGCTGTCTAGCTCTGGACGTGACCATCCCCCATTCAGCTGTCCTGGGACTCTCACATGATCCACCAGGTGTCTGGCCTTGCAGAGAATGAAAATATTCATCAATCTCATCTTCTGCAGCCCTGATCCCCCACAGCCTGCTCACCTCTGCCTAGAGTTTCCTCACCTGTCCCTCCACGGCCTCAATCTGGGCACAGACAAGGGAAACCCTGGCCCTCATGCTACCCGCCAGGCTTCAGAGGTCCCGCCAGACAACCCCCGCAGACAGCGGGCCAGGGCACTGCTAACCCATCCAAGGGGCATATCTGGATGGAGGCCTCACAGGAGCTCTGGGCCAGAATGAATGATAGATTTTTATGGTAAAGGCCTTTTGTTTCTTACACAGACTTACTCCATGAGCATAGGCAAGTCACTTAGCCATGTTTCTGACTCAGTTTCAACAATTATAGAATCATAATGTTGCTGCTTCCCTACTGTAGCCCAGTCTCAAGGGTTGTCCATGAGGTTTAATAAGAGAGTATTTTTGTTTGTTTGTTTGTTTGTTTGTTTGTTAAATATGGAATGCTTCACGAATTGGCGTGTCATCCTTGTGCATCTTTAGAAAAGTGCATTGAAATTCTTTAAAGCAAGTTGCTGTTGAAATAGAAAATACCATACAGTTCAACCAATCTTTCCAATTCTGGTGTCTAATAATACTGTTATTTCTCTCCTGGATCACTTTAAAATCAGAGAACATATATGCCTATGTATTTGTACAGTGCCTAGCATAATGGAGGCATGATAAACACTGGGACATCTGGGGTTACCATGGATACCAATGACAATGGTTATTATAATGGTCAAACATCTTTCCAGTTAAAGCAGCACCATTGCAGCAAAATGCTGGTTGTGATAAAAACCTTTAAAGCAGAAAGGGAAAGCAGAAGAGTTATTAAGTCAATAACCAGTATGGTTCTCATTTATAGGTGCTATTTTGGAATGCCACCATAGAATTTCAATATATAAGGGTTTCTCATGTAAAGGCTTTCACATGCCAACTGCTTTCAGCCCATTCAAACCTACAATTTCCTGCCATAAGACATGAAACTTTTTTATTTAAATATTTGATGCCTGTGCTCATAGAATCATAGAATCAATGAGTTGGAAGGGACCTAGACAGATCATCTAGTCCGACCCCCTGCCATGGGCAGGAAGGAGCACTGGGGGTGGCAGGGATCATTCCAGCCAGGTGCCTATCCAGTCTCCTCTTGAAGATTTCCAGGGAAGGTGAGAGCACCACCTCTATGGGAAGCCTATTCCAGGCTCTGGCCACCCTTAC